GAAAAACAGATTCAAAGAAGACCACATCTCTGGAAATGAAAACACGATTGGATTGAATGTCCAGGAGCTTGTACCCTTTAAAACAGGGGGGATAACCAAGAAATACAGCAGGTATAGCCCGAGGAGAAAACTTATGACGTGACCTTGAAAGAGTTGAAGCATAACAAAGACAACCAAAAACACGCAAGTGAGAGTATTGAGGAGGTTTGTTGTGAAGAAGAGTGAAAGGTGTGGAGTTGGACAGAAGGGGAGAGGATGTTCTGTTGATTAGATAAACAGAGGTTAAGACACAATCCTGCCAGTAAGGGAGGGGAACATGAGACTGAAAATGAAGAACACGCGCAACATTAAGGATATGCTGATGTTTGTGCTCAACCACAGAATTTTGTTGTGGTCTCTCAACACAGGAATGAAAAAGAGTGATACTCTTATAAGAAAAGAAAGGAATGTTAAATTCTGGTGCATTATCACAACGAACATATTTTATTGAGATTTGAAACTGGTTGAGAATGAGTGTACAAAAATTACTGAAGGCAGATGAGAATTCAGATTTCTGTTTGAGAAAAACAACCCATGTGTAACGTATGTGATCATCAACAAAAGTCAAAAAATAACGAAAACCATCAATTGAACTGAGGGTAAAAGGGCCCCAAATATCACAGTGAATGAGGTCAAATGGTTTATGAGACAATTTTGGATTTAATAAAAATGGTAAACGTTTCTACTTTGCCAAGGGATAAACATTGCAATGTAAATGATCAGAAACAGAAGACAAATTCAAGCTCATTTTCATTGATGACAAAACAGGTAGAGACAAATGACCTAGTCTAGAATGTCATAAGGCTATATTTCGAGAAATAGCAGATAAACAAATGGGAGGAACAACGAGCTTGGGAGGAAGAAGACTGGCAGAGTCAAGGACATACAGACCACAGACAAGATTAGCAATCCCAATCGTCTTGCTTGAGAGACGATCTTGAAGGAACAATTAGATGACAAAAAAAGAGCAACAATGTTAGTGGTGCGAGCAAGAGCACTAATGCTTAGAAGATTGAAAGAAAAAGCAGGAACATAAAGAACATCACAAAGAACCAGCCATGCAGAAAGAATGGAATAACCCTTGGAGACCACCGGAGCAACCGTGCCGTTGGGGAGGGACACGACTGAATCAGAGGTAAAGGGAGATGAGGAAGAGGATAAAGGATAACAGGAAACATGGTGAGTTATTCCAGTGTCCAAAACCCAGCAAGTGGAAGGTAGCGAAGAAGGGAACTCACCACTGAGGCTGGCTACGGTGGGATTGATGTCTACTGTTGGAGAAGGAGGCTGGGAATTTTGGTTAGATGTGGTGGAAAGAAGAGAAATCAACTGTTGGTACTGATGGTGGGTGAGGGACAAACGTTTGAGTGTGTATCTGGTACAGGGGAAACGATGACGTTTAAGCGAGGGTTGGTATTGGGCTTGGGTGTTTTGGGTTGATACCCAGGTGGATAACCATGTATCTTAAAACATTTTTCTTTGATGTGGCCCAAAATGTTACAATGACTGCAGAACAGACGTTGATGGCGCAGAGGAGCACCATTGGCAGCAGCAACAGACGGTGGTGGAGCAGCAGAAGAAATGAGAGAACCATCAGCGACCAAAGGAATATAGGTCGTAATCTCACGTTGGCGCTCTTCCTGTAAAACCAAAGAAAAAACCTTGGATAGGGATGGAAGAGGGTCCATCAACAGAATCTGAGTTCGAATCGAAGAAAATGAGTAATTCAACCCCATGAGAAATCGCATGGCGTGGTCCTGGTCATGATCATGAGAAATGGATCGGAGAGCACCACAAGTGCAGGAATAAGAAGGTGAGTAATCAAGGAGCTTGTCCCAAAGAGTTTTCAGACGAGTATAGTAGCCATTCACAGCCAAAGCACCCTTTTTCAGGGAGGATATTTGCAGCTTAAGCTGAAAAATACGAGGACCGTTGGCTAGGTGGAATCTAGTACGAAGATCGTTCCAGGCATCGTAAGCATTGACAAAATACATTAAACTGTCAACAATGTCCTTGGAAACGGAGTTCAGAAGCCAAGAAATCACCATTGAATTGCAGCGATTCCAAGCACTGAACAGAAGATGATCTGAGGAAGGACGAAGCAGAGAACCATCAACAAAGATGGATTTGTTTTTCGCTGTTAAAGCGAGTAACATAGCATGAGACCAGAGTTGAGATTTTTGCCAGTAAGGGAATGAGTAACCAAAACCAAGCCAGGATGGTCACCATTGCTAAGGAAATAGGGACTATCGGAATCTTCAATCGAGGGTGAAGACTCAGAAGAAGCAGCACCAATAGGGTTGTTGGTTGAAGGATTATTAGCGTTGCCGCGAGCCATGAAAAAGGCAAGGGCAAGATTCAAAACTCAACTTATACCATTTTACAAATAAAGAACAGATAGAACGAAAATAAAGAAGATGAAAAACTTTCACTATATTGATTGATTTTTTTATTGTGTACAATGGAGCTCTATATAGCTCAAAATGAGAATAACAAACTCCCTAAAAATGCGAGAGACCAACCAAAAAGGGAGAGCAAAAATACACAACTAAAGGATAACAGAGAACAGAAAGCAAACAATGAATACAATATAAAAAGAGGAAAATAAAATGTATCTGTAAAAATCATAATACTTCCCGTAATTGTTATATTTTTTGTTTCCTCCGATCCTTGATTTTTATGTACTTCTAAACTTCCATTGTCATCATTTAGATAATGTATGATTAAATACCAAAGCAAACTTAGGAACCTGAATCATAATACAACATCTTTTAAATAACTTTTTCCCATCACAGAGATAGTTATGAATGTTTATCTTTAGTGAGCAGTTATTGAAATGATGAAATATGATGAACTAATTTTTGATTTATCTTTTATAACCAACTGATTATGTAATATTTGCGAATTTTTGGAATTCCGATTTGAAATAACTTAACTAAAGAATAAGGTTTTGTGAACCATTGACCTTGAGATTTGGGCTCTTTATATCTTGGGCCTCCAACATTGATCCATTGTAAATAGATACTGTTAGAAGAATTTAGATACAAAATTTAACGACAAAATTTTGCAAAGAAAGCTAAAAAAAATATATTAGAGAAGCGTCAGCTATGCTAACCGCAATACATTAAAAAATTCTATGAAAATTTTATATGAATATAATATAAGTATAGTAAGTTGAGCGGCATAATTGATTTTTCCTGTCCAAGATAGGATGAGCCAAATCACACACAATTAAATGTTGAAGATTGTGGGCCTCAAGTTTGTTGCAAAATAGTCTGGTACAATGGTGAAATAGGCTTATCCTTGAAGTGTTTATGTTGTAGCTTTGGCGCAATGGAAGTGACTAGGGAGGGTACCTGCAAAGATACTTCGAGCTCAAGTCAGTATCAATGTGGATGTATAATATTTAACTGAGAGATGTCTGTCCCTGAGTTGTACCCTCTATATTTATAGCGTGCTATATGTCATCCTTCGTGGGCGGCATCTCTTCTTATTAGTGATATAGGGTGGCTGCCCTTCAGTCACAGTTGGTGCCTTTCAAGCTATTCCTTGATGAACAAGTCTAGATACTAGTTTGTCTCCTTAGAGTAGTGGAAAGTTGGAGCTGTCCCATCTATACTGGTTCTTATACGTGGTGGACTTTATCAAATCTCTATGGCCTTCTTTAGTCCTTAAGTTTTACCCTGCGGCTCCGCGCGATGGTCTGCATAATGAGGATGGTCTACACCATGAGGATGGTCCACGCAATGAGAACGTTGCGCTTATCGTCTCTGGGTCTCTCATGGGCCTCTAACTATTAGGCTTATATTTTATCCAGATCAATAGTATTCAAAACTTTCTCCAAAAAGTACACGTATCCACGTAATGGAGGCAAGAAACTTAAATTTACCGATACCAATTGTATATGGATGTAATGTTAATCTTTTATGACATGTTAGTAAAAATAAATAAATATAACACATGGAAATTATAGGAGTGTATATTATTTTTGCACCCTGTTAGGCAACATGGTAACTTTTAACGGTGTAAATAAGTTAGGTCAAATCAAATTTCAACTTAACTAATTTAATTTGTTAGTCAAATACAAATCAAATTATAAGTTTGATCTGATTTATTTTTGAAAAATTCAATGTCTGATATAACATATCAAGTTTACCAAATCTTCAAAAGGACATATTGCATTATATAAAAGGGCATTAGTTTTCTTATGCAACAGGTGACAAATTTTATCTTATACTGAGACAAAACAAAGTGGGCCATCAATATTTTTTAAGAAAAAAATGGGGCTCAATTTTCTATGTGAGAACACTCTCCTGTAACATAAGAAAACAATTTTCGTATTTTAAAATACAAGTTCTGATTATTCTATTTCTTTTGTAAGTTTAAGTCAAAATAATAGAATAATTGAAGTCACACCATAATTCAAAATATAATTTAACTAAAATCTATAAATTGGGGTTGAAGGCTTAGAGGCCTGATTTCCCAATAGATTTCTTAATGAGCTTAAATTTATATTATTTTTATCTAAAAAAAATTGTATTGTTTTTGAAAAGAAAGATTATTCTAATAACTTATTTTGATTTATAATCTCTTATATCTTATAATTATAATTATAAGAGATTATAAATTAAAATATAAATAGTAATAAATATAGAGTTTATGTTTTCTTATACTACATAACAGAACAATTTTTTTTATAGACACATGAATAGTTACAAATCAAATCTTTATTTTTTTAATTACAAGTGAATTCTATATTAAAAATTGTATCTATAGTTGAAGATATGCTCTCTTATATAACATAAGAAAACATAAAGCGATAAATATATCATTTCGGTCAATGCAAAAGCAGACCAAACTATAAACCTGTCGTGACAAATAAAATAAAATAAAATGTATAATGTAATGTGTATGGGTTGATGTGACGTGATGTCTTGTGTTGGAAGCTTTGATATTGTGTTTTCTGTATTATATCGCACAGATCTCCACTTTCTCTCTTCTATTCTATTTCCAAAGTTCGCTTTCTCCCAAACACCTCATCAAATCTCCATTTTCGTCAAACTCTCGATTCTAGGGTTTTCATTTTCTCTGTGCTTTGCTCGGATCTTCCATCTCCGACTTCGTTGATCTACTCAACAAGGTAAAACTCTTTGTCCCTTCCGATTAGTAGCTTTTAAATTCTCCTCTATTCAGCCAAGTTTAGGTTCAAGTTTTCTTCCCTATATCCTATACCTAGTATTCAGAATTCACCATTACATGAATTTTCAACTACGAATTTGATATTACTAGGGTTTTGGAGTGATTGAACTGGATTAGCAGTGAGATTCGTAAAATTTCCTTAGGGTTAAGGAATCTCGATGGATAACGACAAATCTCTGGGTCATGGCGGAGGTTTTCCACCTCCGACAGGACGCTATTCGGGTTTCTCACCCACTGGAAGCGCCTTTAACGTGAAATCTGAGCCCTCTTCGTTTCATCAATTGGTTCCGGGAAACAGCTCTGATTCTACTCAATTTGGACATGGAATGTCAACAGATTCTAGTGGCTTTAGTCATGATATTAGCAGGATGCCAGATATTCCCCCGAGGAATAGAGGTCATAGGCGTGCTCATTCCGAGATTCTCACCCTACCTGATGATATTAGCTTTGATAGTGACCTTGGTGTTGTTGGAGGTGCTGATGGGCCCTCATTTTCTGATGACACCGAAGAAGACTTACTGTCCATGTACCTTGATATGGATAAATTCAATTCATCATCGGCTACATCCACATTTCAAATGGGTGAGCCATCAAATGCTGCTGCAGCGCCAGCTTCAGCATTGACACCGGCATCGGGAGCTCCAACCTCTTCTGCAGAGAACATTGTTATTGGTACTAATGAAAGGCCCAGAGTTAGACACCAGCATAGCCAGTCCATGGATGGGTCAACAACCATCAAACCTGAGATGCTAGTCTCAGGTTCAGATGACATGTCTGCAGCTGATTCCAAGAAAGCAATGTCAGCTGCCAAGCTTGCAGAGCTTGCCTTAATTGACCCTAAGCGAGCAAAAAGGTAATATTTCTGGACAAGTCCTTTTTGTGCCCTAGTATTTCTGAATTTATTTTATATAATTATTAGTAAAGTAATCCATGATGACAGTCCTAGGTGTTATGCACAATATATGCTTCCTAAGTGTTATATTATGATTTCTCGGTGCATAATTTCTCATTCATAGATTAGGTAATATATTGTATATGAGATAAACATGTTCATTAACGTATATTTTCTCAAATCCATTTCTTGGTGCATAATTTTGCATTCATAGATTAGGTAATTTATCGCATATAAACATGTTCATTAACGTATATTTTCTCAAGTCCATTGCATAGATGTCCTTCATTTCTAACAAATACAGCAGCTTTGAGAAGGAATAGGATTTTAGGTTTTCGAAATTTTTCTTTTAGAAAAAATCTCGGATATGTTGAAGACCTATTTATAAGAGGAAAGTGCCTCCCTGAGGATATTCAGAAACACAATAAAAGGCACGATAAAATTTGAGCCAGAAGAAAGAAAACTACAAATATATTCTAGAAGAATGTTTTTAATATAAATTATATTGTTAGGTTTTGCAATCATTTGTGATTGATATTTATTTGCATTTGACTTTGATACATGACATCATGTATCCAGTTAAGCTTATGAGTTATGACTTATCTTTGAGCAAAACTTACTAGAAAAGGCAAGCACAATTAGACTCAACTCAATATATCAAAGGAAATAGTGAAAGTAGGGAGGCTTAAAACTTTAAGCCTGTTAAAGTCTACTAAGGAAAATGTTGACATCACGTTGGCCATAACTTCAATTGGCTATACAGTAACATTATTTTGGAACATTGGCATAGTTAATTTACTTTCTTAAATTATGTTTTGGTTCCTGGCTACTTTGTTCCAAGATGTCCCATTTTCCATCCTTTTTTATCCTCTGCCCCCGCTTGGGGTGGGGGGCATTGATAAATATTCTTGGGTAGAATGGCAGCCATAGAGGACAGAGTCTATTCTATCTTTCTTTCGTTGTAAATTGGCATTCCAGGTTGTCGGTATATGACATTCCCCAGACCTATTTTGTTTTCTCTCCTGCACCTGAAAAGTGGAGGTTGCATGACATATTTTTTATTGTTCTTTCTTTCATTTTTTTTTTTGGGAGAAAAACTTTGGACAATGACAAACACTACTTTTAAATGTGTGACAGGATATGGGCAAATAGGCAGTCTGCTGCAAGGTCAAAAGAGAGGAAGATGCGCTACATTGCTGAGCTCGAAAGGAAGGTGCAGACATTGCAAACGGAAGCAACATCTTTGTCTGCACAATTAACGCTATTGCAGGTATTGACTTTTGTGCCTATTATTTAACATTGCATGGTGCACTACTGTATTACCATATCACCTTCTGATTGAAAAACTAATGGGAGGATTATAATCAATGCATTTTGGTCTATTATGAACAGAGAGATACAAGTGGACTGAATTCCGAGAACAGCGAGCTTAAACTGCGGTTGCAAACCATGGAGCAACAAGTTCACCTGCAAGATGGTAAGCTTATGCTGTTATCAATGTTTCTGAAGCTAGCACTCTACCGCTTTGATTGCTTCTCTTTCTAATTCTCTCTTTGAAAAAATCTTTATTGGCAGATCATTTTAAGCTAATGATCTTTGTATGAAATACATTGCTTGCACCTTATATTATAATATGACATTAGTAGTATTTCCTGATGCATCAATATGTATATGTCTTAGATAAAAGTGCATTTCAGTGTAGAGCTAGTTGCAAAAGTTTGTTGTTGGGTTGGTTTCCTGGATGGCTGAAGGCAAAACGTGCTATCTTGACAGAAATTTGAGTTTCATGATTTTGTTTGAATATGTGTTTGACCATATGCAAGATGGACAGTTCATCTTGATCTTGGTACTTCTGATATTATGGAATTAATTTATTATTGTCCTTGTAGCATTAAACGATGCGTTAAAAGAGGAAATTCAGCATTTGAAAATACTGACTGGGCAAGCTTTGCCACCTAATGGAGGACCTATGATGAACTTTGCTTCTTTTGGAGGGGGCCAGCAATTCTATCCCAGTAATCATGCCATGCACACTCTTTTAGCTGCTCAACAGTTTCAACAGCTCCAAATTCATCCTCAGAAGCAGCAGCATCAGTTTCAGCAGCTTCAACAGCAACAAATGCAGCAGCAGCAGCAGCAGCAGCAGCTGCAGGAACAACAGCATCAGCAATCAGGGGATGTGAAAATGAGAGCAGCTACACCTCCTCCATGCCCCAAAGATAATGCTTCATCAGATGTAAATCCTTCGGCGGCAAAGGATTGTTGAGACTGCACATTTGTCTTCTCTATTGCTTTTCTAATTTCCTTTTGTCTCTCGTATCGTAGTGTGTCTAGGTTCTGGTCTTGTTACATTGGTTTATTCTTAGACAGTACAAAAGATCCTAGTTAGAGATTGAGAATAATACCTTGCATCTCTACTGTGTAAAATTCTAAAATTCTTTGGAGCCTTAGTTGATTGGCTATGGATATACAGGAGTAGGTTTATGTTTGTTAAGTCTGCCTTCAGTTTCTTTTTTCTATAACCATACCTCGAGACAAGCTACCTGTTTATATTGTTCATCGTAGGCACTACTGACGGAAACCTGGAATGTTCATTTGAAGCTCCATTTGTGGTTTCCCGTGAAGGAAACAATTGCAAGAGGTTAATGCTCTCGTTTGTTACGCCTGAACATTCTACTCAATTCTGGTAAGCTTCCCAGTAAATTTGCAACTTGAGTTGTGGGCAGACAAATGGATTTGTAAGTTGCACAAATATTATCATAAAGTAATCCGATAAACTTATGTTTGCTAACAAATAATTAGTGTTACTATCAATGGTATTACCAATCAATTTCATTGTTAGATCGATCATGTTGATCCAAGGTTATATTTAATTGCATCTTTGTATGGTTATGATTTCTTATATTTAATATTTTATATTTATTTTCATTTTTGTATGGTTATGATTTATTATATTTAATGTAAAAAGTATTAAATATGAGAAATCATAACCATACAAAGATAAAAATAAATATAACTGTTGTATCAACATAATCGATCTAACGGTGATATTGATTTATAGTAACACTAATTGATTGTTACAATATCCTGTCCCTGGTCAAATTGTATAATCTTTGTGCATTTATTTGGCTATTTTAATCTTTATTTTTTACATGTTTATTTTTAATTTTTGAACTTTTTAATTACTTTTAACATTGTTCTTATCCTCAATTTTTAAATTCTTTTTTTAATTTCAGTTAACGTGTTAAATTTTTCACGCTATCGCACCAATCTTTTTGACATGTAATCATTTAACCTAAATTAGATGATAATTGATATATATAAAAAAAAGGGATGATAATCACTAAATAACGTTAAATGCAATTGATAAGCGTATTACTAAAATGAACGAATTACAGAATAAGAATTTGAATAAACATAATCAAATAGCTTAATTAAGCTTACTAATTTCTAAAGAACGATATTTAAAATTCTACTTTTTTAAAATAGCTGCCTGAGTGAAATTAAAAGATTCAACCACAATAAATTATGACAGCTAGAATAAAATTGCATATTGAAGAAATAAAAAAAAAATTGTAAACAGCCATAGTTTTTAATTGAATAATGTAAACATGCTTGTTGACATTAAGATAAGCGACCCTAGTTATTTTATGAGAAATTACTTTTTCATTTTACATAAAATAGTTATCTTTTTTCTTGTTTTTTAATAAGTGATAAATCCCACCATATTGTGTGTGTGTGTGTGTGATAAGAAATATTTCCAACAACATGAAACCCCATAATTCCACAAATATTTTTTCCTGTAGCATTCTTGTTTTGGTAGACATGATCGAGATTGGGACTGCTTTTCCCCCCGATGACGGCCTAAATTATTACTACAAAATGTATTTTATTTTTTTCGGGGTAAAAGTTTAGGGGCAGACGTAATAATTCAAATGTTTTAGTCAGGGAAAACGTGTCAACATTAAAGATGTCGTAATTAGCGGGGGACAATACTGTCACTGACTTCTGGATCTACATGACTGAGTATCCCGGGCCTCCACCTCCTTCAGGCACTGTCCACTCTATGTTTTGCTTCGGATCTTTGATATCACAAGCCTGAATGTCAAAGCAGTGTATTAAATCATGTAGGATACAAAGGTTTTAATAATATTTGATATATTAAGATAAAACCTAAATGGAGACCAATAATAATAATAAAAAAAAGGTTTAAAACCTAGCAGATCTCATCTCAGTCTGCAGTTAGTATCGCAAGTCGCAACAGAGGTTATAGAATATAGACTTCAATTTAGCTAAGCCACAAACGTTAATACCAAAGCAATTTCTCTTCTTTTTTAATAGCAACTCCTATTAATATTCATGAATGGAAGACATTCAAAAGAAATACAAAATGACGCAGATACTCCACGAAAGAAATTTCAAGCCTGAAAGTTTGGGTATAGCATTGTTTAAGAAGCAAATTATTGTATCCTAAATTCCTAATGGTACTTTTGGTTCCAAAAAAGGTACTAATATGCTGCGGCTCTAATTTTCTCAATTATGTAACCATATGAGGTTCTTCACCACCAAAATAAATAAATAAATAACCATGAGAGACTGACATGATTAATGTCCAAAACAAATGAAAGACTAGTTCAAAAATATACTAAAATTTCGTACATGCATAACTTCACCGCGGAATTTTAAAACGCCAAATCAGAAGAAATAAGATAAGCAAATATACTAAATTTACTTATTACATTTTCCTGCTTCTACTCTTACAGCTCGTGTGCATGTTTAACCACTAAATTCAAACAATCCTCCAATTTGGTCGGAAAATTTTACCTTGCAATGTAAGCAGTTTTGTGCATTAATCTGCAACTTCAGCTGATTCTGCTCATCTGCAACATACCTACATAGAGAAAGGTAGATAGAAAATATGATGGAATGATTCAAAAACTGAAAATCCATTCAGAAACCAATCTGTAGTAAATGGGCATTACTCATATACTCGTGCAGGACAATATCGTGACTCAGGAGCGGCAAACACTGGTAAATTTACAAGTTCAGGAATCTTTGGGTCCCTCAAACGAAGGTGAGGAGGTTGATCGTGCTCATGATTTGTGTTGCTCCTGAAAATAAACTAAACATAAATGCCTATAAAACAAGGAAATGAGCAGCAAATTATGTTTGTTGACTACTAAATCAATAATTTCCATCATTATTTATCAAAGCCCTAAAACTTTTGCATGAAAGAAAGAGAGAAGCTGACACAAACTATTACTACATAAATAAATCAGCGAACATTTGTTTTACTTTTCATTCACAATAAATCCACATAAAATGAAGTGCATCTAATATAACTAGATGTGGTTCTTACACAATGAAATTTCCCATATAACATATCGTGTTTACCCTAACTTTAATTGGATAACATTCTTCTAATAGATGATGTCATTCTACATCTTACCCTCAAGAGAGGCCCCTTGTCAAGCCAATTCTTAAATGGGCAGTAGGTTAGCATTTTTCTTATGATAACTAAATTAAGATGACTCTTAAAAGCTATCACTTTCTTATCTGTGCAGGATGGGAAGGAGAAATAGAAACGGTATTATTTTTATAAGAGAAATAGAAACAGTATTATATAGGATTATTTGGGGAAAAAATATAAGTTGGCCGTTACCTACAAAATTAGGATATTAAGTGTATCCGGCTATATAAAGGAAATACTAGGATCTCAATTTGAGTCCTCTCCTCTTTATCTCTAACTTTCCTCTACACCCCTCTCAATGCTCTCTCTCTCCATAATTTTCTTCTAATCACGTATTGCTTTGGTACAAGATCAGAAATACAACCATGCAACGTTATATCTATTTTAGAACCTAACTTTGAGATTTCATTCCGATTAAAAATGATTGCTTGTCTCAACTCTAAACAGTAAGCAACAGGAAGAAATTAAAGTTCCAAAACCTGTGCAGAGAGGTAGATACATCAAAGGACAAGACACCATCAGCCTTTGGATAGTGAATTGGAGAATGCAACTGTGCAGCCTGCATAAATGTCAAAAGAATCAAAAGTATTAGATGACATGCTATGGCTATATATTTTTTTATTCCAGAACAAACAAGAAAAACACATCAAATAGGCAAAGCTCACTAATCTCTCTGCATATTCAATAAAGAAAGGCTTCTAAGTATCCTTCAGGCTGGAAGTAAAAAAGACCACTTTATACAATGTAAGAGGTAACAGCAAAAAAGTATCTTTGAAAATTATGGCATTCCTCTCCAACCATAGGCAATAAATAATAGCATACATTGCACGCTACCAAAGAACCTTTCCTCTTTATTCCATCCAAAATACGGGACCACGGGAATCTTACTCCAACTATCTAATTAATTTTTTTTTTTCCTAGTCAGTCATACTCGCATTCAACATGTGACCTAAAGAGGTTGGAAGACTAACATCGAGTGGAATAGGCAATGTACCTGTTGATTATTTTCATTCCTCCTCCCTCCTTGATCCTTTTTTTTTTTTTTTTCTTGGTTTAATTTATTCTCCTATTTTCATTATCATTTAATGTAATACATTTATACGCTTTAAAATATTATGCTGACCTCGCTGTTGATTTTAGGTATCAGTATAATCAATTAGTTTTTCTAGATTAGATACTCAGTAACATAAAACAACCAAAAGTTTCAATGAAGGCCCTAAACCGAGGATGGAAGCACATTGCACGAGAGCTATTTACCCAAGTATAGGTGGCCATCAGCCAAAATTTTGATGTGGTGAAACAAGATGAAAACAAAATGCTCAACAAAATATTAGATGCAAATAAATACATTAATCACAATTCACGAGGATAAACAGAACACAAGAGCCTGCTGGTGCTGATGAACATTGGGAAAATATCAAGCATAATCTAAGTATGTATTAATAATCACAAATTGTATTATAATCATTTTCCCACTAAACAAAAGTAAAACTACCGTTTTTTTAAATAAAAAAATTTCATTCACATACTTAATTCCTTGAACATTGTTTCTTACATTTGTTGCTTCATGATCAGGTTTACCATGCTTCAATGTAAATGAATGCCTCCCCTTGAGTATGTAACTGATAGGACAACACAATAGTAGGTGAAGTTTCAAGACAAGAAAGGTAGTACAGGAAAGACTAGTCTCCTGTGTTGAAGTGATGAAGACAGAAACTATAAGAAAAATTAGATCTTACTGTTCCAGACCACTTAAGGCCAGTCCTGGAATAAGCCCGTACTCAAAGGCCTACAGTAAAAAATGTCGATAAGGTCAATATGGCATAATAATTTGACAAGCTAAAATATACCCTATTTTTCGGTGCCAACAAATGAATTAGGACAACTAAACTAAGGGGGATAATTGTAATTATGCATGGATCTTTCTATTATAATTTGGGTAAGAAATACTAAGGATTTTCTACAGTTATTTTACGTTGTTTTCAAGTATTTATGATAAATATAAATCCCCAATAAGCTACTAAATGATGTAGGAGAGTATTTTAAGAGGGCATTTCACTAGTCTTAATAACCCTATAAAAAGGCCTACTAAGTGGAGAAAGAAAGTAGAACTCCTCCCATATAAGATATAATTAGTTTCAAGAATTTTCCCTTATTTTTGGAGAATTCCAATCACCAACCTAGTGGGATTCTAGATCATGTGATAGAACGATATATAGCAATTAATATCATGCTTTTGTCCCACATGCAAAAATTCTAATGTAATTTGTCAGACCCAGCTGCTCATATGTTTAACAAAAAAATAAGCAAAGATCTATAATTATTTCATCCAGCAAGACAATGGTGATTTGAGTTTTGAACTAGTTGTTCCACATAGATGATTGCAACCTAACATTTATAACACTCTGAAATCAAACCTCCAAAGATTAGTGTGTCACCACATTATTCCTCCAAAGATTTTTTTACCAAACAAGTCCCTCAAAAATCTATAACAGCATATTCGTCCTTAGAGGACTGGAATGGTGACACAAAACTGTTTTGTATCTTTGGGTGACTAATTTGGAGACAAAAAATCTTTGACAGACTGATGTGGAGACACCATAATCTATGGAGGACCAATTTAGGAGTTGACTTTATAATTTATTCAAAAGTTAGCAAATTGATAGATAGCTATCTAAGATGAGATGGTCTATCAGTTCAAGGTTTCAAAATGATAGAATAAATCACCAGAAAATGAAAATATTAGGATTATGCTTCAGACAGGAAGAGAGGTAGAGGCAAAAAAATCAGAAACAAAAAATGGCAATGAATTGCTTCACTAACTGGTCGATAGTTTCGAGCTTTATATAGTTCTTCCCAAACCCATGAATTCCTCAAAGCATCCCAATACATATCCATATCCAGACCTTCATTAAGCACACTAAATGTAACTTCAGCTGCCAGCATTCCTACAAAAAGAAGCATTTGATGTATGTAAAAGTAACTATGAAATATTGTTATTTGCATATCACACGGAACCATTGACAACTGACATGATCCAATTTGTGGTTGATTAATAAAGAATTGGTGGGTGACTAAACAAATGTAAGAATCGAACTGGCTCAATAGAATTGTAAATTCTTTAAAGTAACAGATCAATATTTTAGATCCACGTCCAATGCTAAATGTCTTGAAAAAGAGACTATTTATATTAATATGATAGTTTGGATGTTTGTAATTTGAAACTCCTTCGACCAAAACTACGAAAATTAACTTCAGTAAAAAATAGTAATTACTAATTAGCATTAGCAATATGCTGAAAAATCAAGCCAGTGAAATATAGTAAGCCACTACCTGATTTCATTGCTGTGTGAGTTCCCTTTATCTTAGGCACATTTAAGAAGCCAGCTGAACATCCAATAAGTGCTCCTCCAGGAAAAACTGGATATGGGATAGACTGAAATTCAACTTGCATCACATTTGCATTTGTATAATGTGTAATAAGTTAAAGAAATAATAAATTGCAGCAAGTAACAGGCATTTGAACAACTAATAGGATAACAAAGAATGAATCTAGCCACCCTTCGAAAACTTGCTCTTCAAGGATGCGAGATACCTCCATCAACAACAAAGAAAACAACCAAGTCTTACATGGTTCACCGAATCGATTAGCAGACATGTTGCCCAGTCTATGAAGATAAACATTTCAAAAAAGCTGTGTTGGGCACAATGCGACACTTCAAAAGTACTTGGACTGATGGACACTAATTTTTGTTGTGTCGTAATGTTCATGTCCGTGTTAGTGTCTTTGCTTCTTAGTCCATGAATCTTTCAATCTTAAGTTCTTAGAGACCCACCAAATACCGTGAAACTTTATATAAGAAATCTTAAGAGTTAGAAGAGTATCTGTTTGGCACACTTTCATTATTGCTGATACACCCATAACACAACACCTCATGAGGTTGGCAATGTGTGGGACATTTTCCCATTGACCGCGCATAAGAAAAGGAACCCATTATTATAAATTACCTGAAAACCACCTTCGTTTAAAGTGCGAGCTCCATACTGGATAACTGTTCCACCTTCCAGAAATGGTTTGATTGCAGGATGCTGCTTAAGTTTCTGGGAACCAAGAGAGAAGACACAAGGGAGAGTGAAGGAAGGAGCAAAAAAGGTATTTAACAAGATTAGGGATCAGGAATTTAAAAAAAAAGATATATAGATAAATAAATTTTTTTTTGTTTAGCAGTTCTGAAAACACTTTCCCTTCCTTTTTCGGTTTTCACATTCAAAAAATATGAAGCAAGATAAAGATCATGTAACATGTATTTGACAACAAAAAAATTTAAATATATATTTTAAGCAAACTACAAGAAAAAGAAAATTACCTGGAATTCCTCATAAGGACTCATGAAAGGGTTCTGATAGTTCAAAGCAACCACAAAGCCTATAGATATCTGTCAAAATGGTAAATGGAGTTCTTGACATGAAGAATATATTGTCAGCTAAAATGAATCAAAAAACTAGCTGGAAAAGTTAAACTTGTATAGTTCATTCAAAGTCTTCCAAAATAGTTGCATGTGACTAGTTCATAACTTGGTAAATGATGATTTCTGGTCAGAACAGAAAATCATGTAGAAATGAGAAATATGACTTCATCAAATTGAAAATCCTCGTTCCATTGTTATTTTATCCATTTTCTATGAATGAGCAACCATCAAGCTGTGAGACTCAACTCAAGTATAACAATGTACAGCTGAATGGATTAAAACATAAGAAAATCAGCAAGGTTAATTTTGTACTACGTGCGTATTTTTGTGGGGTTTATTTCAGATATGAACAGAATAATGCTGGCTGACAATGATCATGATATGGGGTAGCAGTCTGTCTTACAAATTCGTCTGCCAACTGCAACTATACTATTGTAAAATTTCCAAGATAACTGTTAGAATATTTACGGATAAGACTGAATCCAATCATATATAATCATATCTAATATTCTAATACTCCCCCTCAAGCTGGTGCGTATATATTATGAGCACCAAGCTTGTTACAAATGTATTCAACCCGAGGACCTCTAAGAGCTTTAGTGAAAACATCCGCTAGTTGATTAGACGAGTTGACAAAAGCTGTCTTGATTTCTCCTGACTGAATCTTTTCCCGAATGAAGTGACAATCAATCTCTATATGTTTGGTCCTCTCATGAAAAACAGGATTAGAGGATATATGTAGCGCAGCTTGATTATCACAGATGAGTGTCATGGTTTGTTTCTGTTCACAAAGATGAAGCTCCTGAATCAACTGCTTTAACCAGATCAACTCACAGGTAGTATTTGCCATTGCACGATACTCAGCTTCTGCACTAGATCGAGAAACAACAGGTTGTTTCTTGCTTTTCCATGAGATTAAGTTTCCTCCGAAGAAGACACAATAACCAGAAGTAGAGCATCTGTCCGAGGGTGATCCTGCCCAATCGACATCTGAGTAACCACAAATTTCTGTATTTCCCTGATCCGAATACAACAAACCTTTTCCTGGTGCTCCTTTGATGTATCGGAGGATCCTCACAGCAGCATCCCAATGTGAATCACAAGGGGAATCAAGGAACTGACTAGCCGTACTAACAGCGAAAGAAATATCTGGCCTAGTCACAGTAAGATAATTGAGCTTCCCAATCAGCCTTCGATAACGTTCAGGATCAGATAACGGCTCCCCCTGTCTGGGCAATAACTTAACATTAGGATCCATGGGTGTATCAACTGGTTTACACCCCAACATACCAGTCTCTTCTAAGATATCCAAGGCATACTTCCTTTGACAGATAGAAATGCCCTGTCTAGATTGCGCCACCTCAATTCCCAAGAAGTAACGCAGCTTCCCAAGGTCCTTTGTTTGAAATGCACTGAATAAATGTTGTTTTAACTGACGGATTCCGTCTTGATCACTTCCGGTGAGGATGATGTCATCAACATAGACTAACAAATAGATGCACTTGTTAGGAGATGTAATCCTATAGAATACAGAATGGTCAACTTTACTGCGAATTAGGCCAAACGTCTGTACAGCAGAACTGAAGCGACTGAACCATGCTCGAGGAGACTGCTTGAGACCATATAAGGATTTTCAAAGACGACATACCTTCCCAGACTCCCTCTGAGCAACAAAACCAAGTGGTTGCTCCATGTAAACTTCTTCTTGTAAATCACCATGAAGAAAGGCATTTTTGATGTCAAGTTGAAGGAGTGGCCAGTGACGAACAGCAGCAAGGGCAAGAAATAGGCGGACGGACGCCATCTTAGCGACTGGAGAGAATGTATCGCTATAATCAAGGCCAAAGATTTGAGTAAAACCCTTGGCAACTAGGCGTGCCTTGAGACGATCAACATGGCCATCAGGTCCAACTTTCACAGTAAACACCCAGCGACAACCAACTATAGACTTCTCTGGAGGAGCAGAAACAAGGTCCCAAGTGCCATTGGTATGAAGTGCGGTCATCTCATCAAGCATCGCTTGGCGCAATCCTGGATGGGAAAGTGCTTCACCTGTGGTCTTAGAAATAGAAACAGAAGAAAGACTAGAAACAAAGGTGAAATGAGGAGAAGAAAGGCGATCATAGCTCAAGAAGGTATAAAGAGGATAAGGGTTACGAGTAGTACGTGTATCTTTTCTTTGAGCAATGGGAAGAGCCTCTGGTGAAGGATTCGGAGGGGAAGAATCAATTGCAGGGGGCAATGAGTCAGCAGGGGTCAAGTCGACTGGAGGTACTGTCTTACGACGCTGATAAGTGAGAAGTGGACGGTCCTCAGGTACTGGAGCAATAGGTGATTGCTTATCTGGAGTAGAAGCACCTGCATCTGGCAAAGACAAGTCAAAAAAAGGAACAGGAAGAACATGATCAACCTGTGACAATGGAGATGGGATAGAATTAAAGGATTGTTGATCAAGAAAGGTGACATCAACGGAAACTAAGTAACGCTTGAGATCAGGAGAGAAACAACGATAACCCTTTTGAAGACGAGAATAATCAAGAAAAATGCATTTAAAGGCTTTGGATGTTAACTTATCCTTACCAGGAGTGAGATCATGAACAAAACAGGTACAACCAAAAACATGTGGGGATAGAGGAAAGAGAGGAACATTTGGAAACAATAAGTTATGAGGAATATCATTATTAAGCACAGATGAAGGCATGCGGTTGATGAGAAAGCAAGAAGCAAGGACTGCATCAGCCCAGAAGTGAAGAGGAACATGCATGTGAATAAGAAGAGTCCTGGCAATCTCAATGAGATGTCTATTCTTACGTTCAGCTACTCCATTTTGTTGTGGAGTGTGAGGACAAGTGGTTTGGTGTAAAGTACCCTGTGTGGTTAAGAAATGAGAAAAGTCAACAGAAACATATTCCTTAGTATTATCACTACGTAAAATACGAATAAAAGCACCAAATTGAGTATGAATTTTAGCAGAAAACTTTTGATAAATAGAAAACAACTCAGAATGGTTTTTCATTAAATAAATCCAAGTACAACGGGAGAAATCATCAATAAAGGTAACAAAATACCGAAAACCTAAAATAGACACACTACGACTAGGACCCCAAACATCTGAATGAATAATTGAAAAAGGAGCATCAGCTCGTTTATTGACTCGATTAGCAAAGGAGGAGCGTATGTGCTTTCCTTGCTGACATGACTGACAATCTAAAGTTTGAAGACCGGATAAAAGAGGAACCATCTTCTGCAATTTCGCAAGACTAGGATGCCCGAGACGACTGTGGATGAGTTGTGGAGTGAGAGAACAAGCAACTGAAGGACTCGGCACATCAAGGTAGAATAGACCCCGTGACTCACGGCCCACTCCAATCATCTTCCCCGTACCCGGGTCCTGCACAGAAACAAAATGGTTTGAGAATGTGACAATACAATTAAGAGAATTGATCAATTTACTAACAGATATTAAATTATAAGGGATGTGAGGGATGTAATAGACAGATGTCAAGGTCAATGAGGAGGTTGGACAGATTTGTCCAATCCCATGAACGGAGGGCCTTAGTTCCATCAGCAAGAGTAAACGAGGGTAAATTATCAGAATATGTAAGGGAAGAAAAGAGTTCCTTATTACCACAGAGGTGATCAGTAGCACCTGAGTCAAATATCCAAGGACCAAGTGATGCAGAATGAGAAACACAAGCAACAGGATTACCAGTTTCTGAAGTAGAGGCCTGAGATTGAGGAGAGGACTTCCTGAGAAGGGCCTGGAATGCTGCATATTCTTCAGAGGAGAGAGAGACTGTACCATTTGAAGCAGTATCCGATTGAGCTATATTAGCAGCAAAAGAAGGTCGCATGTGAGGATACTTTGTGTAGCAGCGTTCCTCATAATGACCAAGTTGCTGACAGTAATGACAACGAGGTCGCTGACCACGTCCTCCTGGACCTCCTGGGCCTCTACCACGACCACGTCCACCTCCAATATTCCCGCGAAAATCAGTACGGGAAACTAGAGCAGTAGAATCAACAGCAGAAGACGATGCAGGAGCAGATTTCTTATTCAAATTCAGAAGACACTGATACGTCATGGATAGATCAGGCTCCCCACTAGTCAAGATAGTATCACGGACATTATCATATTCTTCGGGAAGGCCAGAAAGTGTGGCAACCATAAAGAGACATTCCACCTGTTTCAGATATGCTGTAGCATCAGTAGGGTAAGGCAGCATATCCAAATATGCCTGCATCAAAGAGCGACTCTTGCCAATATATGTCTCCATCTGAATGTCAGATGATTTGCTCAATTCCATAAACTGAGAGATGATGAAATAGAGCTGCTGAACATCATTAATGTAGCCTCACCCAATAGCTTAAGCTTTTGGGTTGAATTGGTTCTTTAGATGGTATCAGAGCCTCGTGTCCAGGGTTCGATCCTCGCCGCCCCCCGCTTTCTTTCAAGTGGAATTTCTTTGTTCGCACAGGTAGGTGGGCCTGTGCATTGTCCACCCTTCTAGCCCAGTGGGCTCTTGTGTGAGGGGGCGTGTTGAGATATATAAAACCATTAATGTAGCTTCACCCAATAGCTTAAGCTTTTAGGTTGAATTGGTTCTTTAAAATAACAAATCTCCAGAATTGAAAGCCAGCTGAAAAATATATGCAGTCACACATTTACCTTTTTCGGTTTTTCCTCAAATTTTGTTTTGGGTGGAAGACAAGAAAGATCAATATTGGCAATTGCAATTAACAATACACATATGTAGAGCCAGCCCATAAAGATTTAAAACAGTGATTGATAAAACTATAAAAAATATAATAAAAGATGATCTCTTAATCAGTTCGACTCAAATTCCAAAATAAATGGTTTTTGTAAAGTTGCATAAGTCCAATTCAAAATGCATTAAAATTTGAATACATGATAAATGAGAGAGAAAAAGAAAAGAGGGGGGGGGGGGGGGGGGGGGAGAGCAATCTTACCTGTTTATCTTTCATGTGATACAGAAAAGATCCTCCATATGTTTTATGATCCAAGGGCCATCCCAACGTATGGAATACTGCACCAGGTTGATGCTTTTCCTCATCAATTTCCCAAACCTAAAGGTATAAGGTTACAGAATCTAAGTGATGGTGGCAAAAAAAATTTAACACTTGCAGATTTTCATGAAAAATAAAGATGACAAAAAAAATGACTTCGAAAATTTCTTTAAAAAATAAGTGAAGTAAATGATTGAAATAGCGCCGCTTTAGCGCGCTATACCGCTTCAGTTGCGTGTTGCGGCACCCAACCGCTATTTTCGCACCGCGACGCGACGGTTTCCGGTAGCGGTCAGTAGCGGCCGGTTGCGGCGGTGGCGGACGGAAGCTCTTGCGGCGCTACTGCGCCGCTACAGGGAATTGAAGAGAAGTTACAGACATTCAGGGAGAAAAAGAAATGTAAAACGCACGGGTGGCAGCATTTTGTAAATTTGAGTATCATTTAAGGGTTTAATAGGAAAAGGCCAGAATAAGTGAGGGGTAAAATAGATATTTTAGTTGAAAAGCCAGCGATTTTTTTGGGTAATGTTATCACCTTCCTTTTTCTTTATTGATTTTGCTGCCAGCTTTTGGGTAATGTGTCCGTTGCAGTGCTTGGTTTGACAAAATTTAAGAATGCTACTAAATACATAATTAAAAAAAAGAAATAATGCGAAGAAGTCAAGAGAAAAAGCTGTAGGTGATGCTGCAGGCTGCAGCTATTATTCAGATTCTTGGAAACTGAGTTTTGACAGCTCCTTCTCCTAGTTCATTGCATCATTACCCCTATTCTCCTCTTTCCTATTTTTATTTAAAATCATAATAACAATAATTTCAAGTCCCATTATTTTTCTATCCACCAATTCACATTTTAATCAAATATATTTATTTTTAATAATCAAGATTTATATTATATACTTTAAATAAATTATAATTTTTGCATGATCTTATAATGTAATATAAAAATAATTTGTTACCATTATATATATATAATATAAAATTTATATTTTATATTAAAATAGAAAATTATAAAATTATTATTGTTGATTTATTCATTAATATTTAGAATTTCTCTCACATAAAATAAATCATATTAAATAATATATGAGATAATTGATCTTTTGAAGTAATAAGAATGACCTTAAAAAAATGTGTTTGGCTGTATTGTTATTAATTTAGTTACTTTATGTTCCTTGAATCTTTCTTTTGAATGTGTAGTATTATATTTTCCATTCCTCATCTCCTCCTATTTTGGGTGATTTCTTTTCTTATAGAAGTTATATAATATTTATATATGTGGTATAATTTATTATAAGTAAATATGGACTTCACAGTGGCGGCTTTACCGCTACCCGCTATACCGCTATAGCGTTTTGGGGGTCGGCCGCCTACTGACCGCTACCCGCTATTTAAAACTATAAGTAATGATACCTCTTTGATTCCTAAAGCATATGTCTGATGTTCTGCACCTCCCTTCTCTCTCAGGTTGTACTTTTTCATTATTTTCTGTAGGGAACAGAGGAATTGGGATTGGAGACCTTGCTATTAAAACAATAATTGACAGGAAAAACTTGAATCTATATCAATCCTACAATTTAATTTTCAAACCTCTGATAATGATCCTCGACATCCCTCAGCCAGAAGTGTTATGCGACCTGCAGGTGATTTGATATTTACATAGTTAACAAATAAGCCTCAGAAAGATCTAAATAACTATATGCAAAGACATAAATAGATCTAATTACAAATATATGTATGGCACACATAGCATATAAGGGAAACCATCGAAATCACATGTCCAGAGTGAGCAAAGCAATCTGCAAATTGCATTAGACTTTGTTTCAAAGAATATCATGCCATAGAAATGACAAAGGCTTAACAATGACTGTGTCCAATACTTGTTTCTATCAACAACTAAACAAGTTCAGGCAGGTCATGACCCGTGTCTGTAAAAGTTTATAAGATATAATATTCACAAATTCTTGGACAACAAACTGCTGATCCAAATCATAGTAAAGTTACTGGAGCAACTGCACAAGCATTAAAAAAAGGGAAACAGTTTTGCTCCAAGTACTGAGTCAAAGCACAGAAACATATGTATTACAATACAGAAACAAACATGTAAAATGAAACCTTTGACCTCGACGCCTCGCTGAAAATTCTCCTTCTTCGAACCATCTTTTGAAATTCCCATGTCATTGGTTCCAATACCAATAACTTTGTTGTTTGCATCATACAATATCTGGCCAGGAAAAACAAGGGTAAACAACAACAAATGTGGAGAAGTAAAATCCAAGCAAATGCAGAAATACCTCACTAGCTGCAAATCCTGGGTATATTTCTACTCCTAACTCTTCGGCTTTGGCTCCCATCCAACGTACTAACTGACTTAGACTGTATCAGATGGTCCAAAATAAGAAGCTTCTTCAAAGTGGAAAAAACTAAATATGTGCACAAAGACAATGCAAAACTAAACACAATGAATTGAACAAGCATCTAATTAACGGAGAAAAAGTATCTTTCAATCTAAATTTTTAAATCAATTAACAAGGAGGGAAAGTCTGAAGCTGCTTCTTTGTGACCGAAAGGACATGGTTCAAATCAGGATACAACCTCTTTGGCAGAAAAATACAAGGATTTCTCTCGCAAGTCTGGGGTTTAGTGGAGAATGGTTTTGTAACAAGAAAAAGATTAGAAAGCAAGACTGTCACAGAACATTCTTCATGTCATCAAAACCAGATCACAGATTGTATTTCAGATATAGTCTCCATGTAAAAGTTTAATTTGCAACCTTATGCCTAGACTAGTACAACGTTGCTCCAGGAATATGGATTTCTACCGACACAGACCAAATGTTCGATATAAATTATCTTTTTCCGGAGAGTAAAACACCATTACGCTTGAAACCAAGTTATCAAATACAGCAACTTTCGAAGAAAAAAAAAAAAAAACAGTTTCAGAAGAGGAGACTTAGCAGTCATGTAATAATCAAAACTGCACATCTAAGAAACTCAAGGTCCAACAGATAAGGGCAAACAAATAATGCACCAGAAAGCATAAGGCGATCAGGTAAAACTAATGCCCTCTAGCCGTATAAAATGAATGTATGGTGTTGTTATAGAAACCTTATTACATAGTTGCCTTTGTTGTTAAAAGGACATGGAAGTGAAATTGCACGATCCTTGGTGAGAAACCAAAACTTATCAGAAGAGACAGGGGTGGTGATCGGAGCCTGCAAATAAAAACGAACCTCAAAGCGAATTACGAATTAAAAGTACTCGAAGCTAGTTTGTTACTGAATTTGACATAGAAAACAAACAAAACGCACCTCTTGCTGCTTCCACTGTGGGAGAAGCTCATCCAGTGCTCGGGGTTCAAAAACGTTTCCAGAAAGAATGTGAGCACCTAACCATTACAATAACAACAACAACAACAACAACACAGAAACTTGCAAAGATCAAGGGAGCTTTTATATCAAAAAACTAACCGAAAGAGAATTGGAAGTTAGTTCACGTACCAACTTCAGCACCTTTCTCGAGGACACACACAGACAAATCAGAGTTTTTTTCCCGGCACATTTGCTTTAACCGTATCGCCGCCGATAAGCCGGCGGGTCCTGCTCCGACGATAACGACGTCGTATTCGATGGAGTCCCTCTCCGGTGCGGTACAGAAACTCCGAAAGTTCGGAACCCTAGAATTGGAAAATGAGAAAGCATTTCGGGAATGCGAATATAAGTGGCGAGAAAAGGAATAATAAGCATTGGAGTTCGATTTGGATGATGAAGTGCGAGTCGGAACAACAAGAAGAGTGCTGCTTAATTTGGATTTCGATTTAGACAATATATACCGAAACTTGAGCATCATGCAGATATTGATTCACGACTATGAATTCTGATTAATTGAACTTGGTCATTCCAATTTCGAAGACTTATATAATATAACAGTAATTAGGAAGAATACGTAACTCGTTGCCTCTGACGTGTTGAGTTCATCTGCAATCTATAAGTTTATCACTTCTTAACGCAGTTTATCACTTCACGACGCAGTTGTAAACTTGATTTTCATTTTTATCCTGAATATTTTTTTTTTCTAAAAAACAATTTATTCTTAAACTTAAAAAATATCGCTATGTATGTAAAGTGTATTGGATGCCCAGGAGAACTATTTTGGGGTCAGTGCTGAAATCCAATGACGATTCCCAAGCCATGAAGTGGGTACCACGAAGAAATTAGTCTCATCTTGTGAGCTGAAGATCCCTTGAATTTACTCAAAAAAAAAAAAAAAAATGTATAGGCATGGAAATCTTCAAAGTCCATGTCGTTAATTATCAAAATATATAATTTTCCTTATTTTTTTATTAAATTCATTAATTACTTAATTAATCCGATCAAGTCAGATATGATTATAAGAAGAGTTTGTTTTTTTGCAGTAAGTCTAATACGACGTTATTTTGGGACGAAAATCATAGTGTTTTTATAATTTTAATTTATTTCAGAGTTATAATAGTCTTTATATTTATAATTTTTTAATATTTCAATATTAAAACGATGTCGTTTTGAAAATAAATGCAGATAACTTATATACAGTATAGAAACATTTTTCGGTGATAATTTTCAACATAATTTGCTGATATGATATTAATACAAACGAAAAATTCATATTCAAGTCAACTTGTTTTAAATTTGTGTCTTGTTCGTATGGACAAATAATGACACAAAAAAATTATGTTGTGTGTCGTGTCAATTCATGAATTTGAAATTGATCAATTTTAATTTTTCTTACAAGTTATTTGTGTCGTGTTGTAAATAGATTATTTAAATCTTATCGTGTCAACTAGTAAAACACTTTTATGTTGATAGGTTATTTGAATTATATTTGTCGTGTCATATCAACTCGTAAATTAAAGAAGTCGTGTTCGTATCAAAAAATTTAAGGGTGCATATTTTCTTATGTTGTAGGATAGTAGGAGAGAGAAAAAGTAGAGATAAGTTAAATGTGGGTCCCACATTTTAAATTAAAAAAGAAAAGAAAAATTAATTGGCACGGAAAACGAATTTGTGTAGGAAAAAGTTCTTATCTCATGTAGAAGGAGATAATGATTTCCCAAAATTTAAATCAATTTTAAATTTGTGTCAGTGTATTCGTTGTTATGTCAGGTGTGAATCAAATTGTCGCCCGAATTTTAGAAGGACGGCAACTTAGCATAAATGTATATTTACGATTCCAACTCAAAACCGCCGGTTAAACTCAAATAAACCCTTGTTAATTGATCAGATACTTGTTGGTTTAATTATCAATATATTATTTACACGGAGAGTTGAGACACAGATTATGCAATTCCACTATTTAATTTAACCAAAGGCAAATCCTAGTCCAAAATACGGTAGCAATACCAGTAGAGTACATGATAGACTGAGAAAAGAGAAATAATGCATAAAGTAAGGTAATATATATAATTAAGGGTAAGTTAAGGTGGCAATGTGATTATGAGCTACAGTTCCAATCCAAAGCTTTCCTTTTACCTCTTTGACTTCGCTGACGAGCTTCATGACCTGGCCTTGTCGATCTTCAAGAACTTCCAAAATGTGTCCCTCGTCGTCAAGAAGTGAAATCACAGTGTACATTCTCATCCCCATAACTCTAGCCAACAAGCTCATCCTAATGGGTAAACGGAAGTAAATATTCCTCAACCATGGATTATGACTAAGAACCTCTTGTGCCGCAGTGCGACAACAATCTATTGCTACCCAAAATTGGCCTTTTTCATTTATTCTTACGTTGTCAGGAAACCCTGGAAGGTCAGCTACAAGTTCCACACTTCCACTACTTGGACCTTCTACCCAAAGCTTCCTTAGCCTGTCATTAAGGAATTCATGTGTCACATTACATAAACACTTAGGAACAAAAATTTTGTACATATATAGTGACCTGCAATTGGTGGTTTCAGTGAAGAGGAGGAAGGATTGGTCTTTAGAAAATTGCACTCCGTTAGGAAAAGCAAGGCCATCCAAGACAACATGGGTTGTTTTAGTTGGAGGATCATATCTTAGGAGCCTACCAGTAGCTTCACCTTCCAATAATATAAAAAAGTGCGCACTGCAAAACAAGTATTATATATCATTTATGTACTGAAACATTAGGTATTAATGTTTATTATATTTTAGAAGATAATTTAATCTCATACACACATATAAAACTGTATGAGGAGGCTCATATGGAATCATGTGAAGAGAATAGAGAAAAAAAAATATATGGGTCCCACACGAGCAAATATATAGTGGGCCGTCCACAAAGAAAGGGGGGGGAGAGAGGAGAGAGAGTAAGAAGAAAGAGAGAGAAAAAGATCAGGAAATTAATTTTCGTCCTACATATTTTTATGTATATGTAGAAGATACAATTATTTCCTCCAACATAAAAACCACTAATCCCGAAATATTATATAAGTTATATATAGGAGATATTTTTCATATATTGCATGCGATAATTTATCACATGCAACATATAAAAAGATGGGTGAAACTCATTAAAGAAAAGAGAGAAAATAATAGGTCTCATTTACTTTTTTATGTGTTGCATAAGATAAAATTGTCTCGTGTAATATGAAAACAATATTCCCTTGTATATATATAGGAAAAAATATTTCTACAGCCAACTTTAAATAAGGTTACCTACAGTTACCCAAAATCTACGTCGTTTTGATTAATGAAGGGTGTTTTTGTAATTTTAGGTGAATTAATGAAGGGTGTTTCAATAAAATGATTATGATAAAAAATAAACAAAATTACAAAAACACCATTTATTAATTCACCTAAAATTACACAAAGACCCTCCATTAATCAAAACGACGTAGTTTTTTTGGTAACTGTATATAACCTTATATAAAGTGGCTGTATAAATTTTTATCTCATATATATATATATATATAAGACAAAATTGCAGTATATAGACACCTACACTCTGTTGTATCGTTTGCTGGTGTCTGTGAAGAAGATGGATCCATTCTTATAAATGTCAAGGTCATTTGCGAAGAGAATGGGCCTTCCTTCAACATGGGTTGCCAATGATGTAGCAAGTCCTCCATTTGGTCCAACCACAAGAAGGCCATAGTATGCATCTGCTATGTATAAATCTCCATTCTCTTTGTCAAATCTCAGGCCAAGTGGACGCCCACATGTTTTCTCATGCTTCCATTGCTTGGCAGTGGTAGAATCATTGCCCCTCAAGCAAAGCTTCTCCGTCCTTTTAATTAATTTAGACACAAAAAAATATATATAAATATGCCAAATCTCATTAGCATGAATAGATATAGAATAATAACATTTAGGAACATGTAAAGCATGTGAATTTGGGTCAAAGTAAAAAAAGTAGAAAAGTAAGTTTTGTGGTGATATATAGTCACCAATTGGATGTGACAAATGCAAATGTTTCCCAACCAAGTTCCTCCCCCATCCATCTAACAATGCGACCATCGGCTAAACCAGTGTAAGGGCCACGACCCATGTTATCAAATTCCAATGACTCTGGTCCGAACACTTGATTCTTGAATTCTGATTTACCATAAAGTCCTAGTTTGCTAATGTTGTCCCTAGGCCAACTCTTTATGACTTGATGATAAGGTGCAATGTCATGCTTCACGGGTCTGAATTCATGGTCTGCCACTGGACCCAAATGAAAAGGGTCCATCATGACAAAACCCAAAACCAGAACAAGAGCAAGAATAAAAGGGTGTTGGAAAAAGGTTTCATCTTTTAGTATGTTTCTCTTCTCCATACATGGAACGTTATATGGGTTTGAAGTGAATTGAGATATTATTGAAGCAGAGAAAGCGAGAGGTCAGGTAGAACTAGAAGTACTTAGCTTGGTAGAGTTTCATATTTGAAAGGGTTTGAGAGTTGAAAACTTGAAAGCATGCGTTGCTCATGACAGCGTTTAAGGTTGGGAGTAGGTTGTCTATTGTTATGCATGTTGATCGCATTCTGTGACTTTCGTTGGAAAACGACATTTGCTTGCTGAAAGTCTTGTGATTTTTTATTCTTCAAGTGTCATCTGTGCTGACTCGTGAAAACACAAATTAGCATACCCGTCAGGATTTTTGTTTTTTTGAGCAAAATTCAGTGACGAATGTTATGATTCTTCCTTCATACAAAAGTTTGTTTTTTTCTGTAAGAGGTGGACTTGGAAACTTGTTTTGCGTTGGGTTCATCACAGAATTATACACAGGACAGGAGAGTGCTAATCTAAGGACACAAAGCAAAGGGAGCAGATTCGGTCATATCTGTATAGAATCATCGCTGATGTATAATGGATAGATGAATAACGTAGCTACATGTATTTGAGCAAGTGAAATTTGAGCCTTATCTAAGAATACTTGTCCTTATCCTGATATGCATAACAATATTTATAATATCTTGAAGAATACTAACTTCAATTCCAAACTAATATTATTGCATATTATTTGTGCTTCACTTCAGGAATTTTGTCCTTTTTCTCAACCTCCTCTAGTTTAAATGTCACATCCCCATAAATTATTTTCTGAATACAATTATAAGACTATTGAAGAAGTAATATATTACACTTTTTTTGTCTCCGGTTAAGTGAACACTCAAGAAAAGCTTGGCTACCTACAAGAATTTGAGCCTTTCAATTTTTACATAGGGAAGACAAGGTGAATAAATGAGAATACATTTATAAACAAAATTACCCCAAAAACCTACGTGCTAGTCACCCAAGTTAAATAGAAATTTGTTGGATATATGCTCTTTTGGTCACTAAAGTCCTATTGGGCTTCAGTGAAACTTGAGCCCATGAGGCTTAGGGTTGAGTTATGTCTAAGACCTAAGCGTATATATTCATGGTTTTCTCCTCTTGTGCCTCCAAGGTGAATAGATCATCAGAAACAAACCCCAAGGGCAGACGTTCATCATCTGAACGGTTGCCCACACAACCATCTCATCCTCCTCGAGAGATAGTCTGGAAGATCTGCCACAGTCTAGCTTCAAGGAGGTTGTTCGTGCTGCGGCGCTAAGGTGAGTTGTTCGTGAAGAGGAATCCTACAAGGGAAGATTCTACACGACACCTGCGCACCGAGAGGTAATTGTGAAACAAGGATGATTCGGTAAGCATACCAATGTACTAGGTCCTAAACCGCTTCCGCATAAATCTAAGATTTCCTTCAATTGGTATCAGAGCCTTGGCTGTACATTGGTATGTGAATCTAGTTTCACTATTCATGTAATTAGTTTTGCTTCTTGAAATGTGGCACCTAGGGTTCTAGGATTATGGTATGAATCTAGCATGTGTATTTTATAATTCATTTTCATAAAAGTTTAAATTTTAATCGGTAAAAATGCTTTAATCCATGGTTAGGGTCTCTCGTGTATTTCTCGATTTGTAACAAGGAGGCTAATCCCATATGATTAGGTTTCCTCTTGTTGGTTTTGTTTATTTTTGGAATTTCTGTGTATTTTTTCAATATTTTGTAAAAGTTCAAGATCGAGAAATCGCGAGGAAGATGCGCAGTCAGCACTGTCGGAGACTTTTCGAGGACTTACCGATCTCGGAATGGGGCGATCTATATATGGTTGGAAATAGGACGGAAATACGAACGCAACGGTGGGTGGCTCACCGCCATCTGAGTTTACACGCGCCTCCACGCGCCTCCACAAGATTCTGAGAGTGTCCGCCACTCTCCGGAAAAGAATGGGAGAGTGAGAGAGCGTCCGGCCACCTTTTTGGGTGGTTCCAGCGGCGGTGCACTCGTCTCTACGTGGTGGTCCTTCCTCTGGAGTTTCAGCCTGATTTGACTTCGGGTGACGGCGCGGCAGACCTGATGGCTAGGGTTCCTCTTTCGCGTCCTAGGGTTTCTCGCCAAAGGATTGGGTCTTTGGGCTTTTGGGCCCATGAAACCCTAAAGGGGCTTGAGACAGATACTATGGGCTAGGCGAAAGTTGAATTCCAAAGTTGTATTATTTTATTTTATTTTATTTTCTTTTCTTTAAAATAGGAAGGTCATGGATTAAAGTAATTATGATTTATTATTTAATGCTTTTATTGATTGGTATAAATTATATGATAGATAACATGCTTTATTGCGATAACATGCCATATAGAATAGGTGGTGCCATATTGTTGCATAACTTGTATGATTGCATGAGCATAATAGCTATTATGTCTTCAGCGACTAGTATGATAGTTATTATAGGATTATTTTGATTTTAAATCATCCTAAGAAATTAATTAATAATTATTATGATTTTTATTAAAAATCTAGATTAATAATTGAATTAATTAATTTTGGATTATTAACATCAAGACAAATAATCGTTATGGAAATTATTTTGATTTCAAATTATCCTCATAAATGATAATTATTATGATTGTTGCAATCTAGATTAATAATTAAGTCAGCTATTTGGATGATTTAAATCTAGAAAAATAATTAGAGAAAATTTCCTAAGAGAATTCTTTTATTTTGCGAGTAATTTGTGGGTTTTTCTGAAATGGTCATGGAATAACACAAGCTGCATACAACATTCATGTATCATGATTGTTTGGAGCACACGCTGACGTAAAGTGACCGGATTTCAGGACCTTAATACTTTCAAAATTATGTTAAGCTTAGTGCACGTTTATCGGCGCTCTTACTTATATAGTTTTTGAAATCAAACAAAGGATACTCTCAATTAAATAATTCTTGGAAATTAGAAAATGTTGCTTATGTTGAATGGAAGGAGATTTAAATTAAGAGATTAATTTAACCTTCAAGCGCATTATAGGACCATTAATAAAATAATCATGTGAAGTCCCATCGAATAAGCATGATTGGATTTTATTAGATTGGACTTAAATATCTATGGGAGGAGATTTAAATTAAGAAATTAATTTAACCTCCAGGCGCATTGTGGGCCTATCAATAAAATAATCATGTGAGGCCCCAACGGATAAGCATGATTGGATTTTATTGGGCCTTAATAATTTCAAAATTTTAATAAAGTATTGTACGTCTCATCGTCGATAATACTAAGTTATAAAGATAATTTTGAAATTAAACAATGAATTCGACTGGGCTTATGAAAATTCTCAAACAAAAATGTTGAATGGGTGAAGGTTTTAAAAATTAATTAATTTTAAAACCTGCGGGCTCCATTTGTGGGTTTATTAGTGAAATGGTTATCGCTGAAGCCCCATCGGATAAGGATAATCAGATTTCACTAGATTAAATCTTAATAATTTCAAAATTTTAGTAAAGTATTGTGCGGCCCATCGTCGGCAATGCTTAGACACTAAGGATAATTTTGAAATTAAACAATGGTTAATTACATTCAACTTTGGTAAAATTGTTAACCCTCCCATCGAGGCTCTGGCAATGGCACTGAAGGCCCAAATAACAATTTTGGTTTTTACAAGTGACTTGCCCATCGTAAGCCTTGTAAAGATAAACTGAAGGATTGTTAACAATAAACAAGAGTAGTTATGAGAATCTACTCGCACTTCGTTTGTTTATTGCATTATTTGTTTGTAATTGTGTGCTTTATATGTTTTTCAGAAAATATCTTAGAAATGATTTTGAGTCGAAAACCTCTAGATGGTACCAACTATGAATAAGTGAAAAACAAATTTTTTGATATTGTTCTAAAACATGGAAGCTAAAATTTGTTCTGACAATGCGAGGACCATAGCAACCTGTAGAGGATGCGTCTAAGGAAACTAAGATGCATTTCTCAGATTGGGAAAGGGCAGATATGGTAGTTCGCTGCTATATTATTGTCAGTCTTTCCAAATACTTGCAGAAGCAAGTGTACATGATTAAGAGTGGAGTAAAAATGCTTCAGACTCTTAATGACATGTTTGCTGCGTCTAGCGGCTCTGCCAGACAGAATGCAGTCGGTGCAGGTTTTGCTAAGAGTCTTGTTAAATCCAAAGGGAAACCCAAGGGTGGTAACAAGATCAAAATGACTTGGTTATCAGTTGTCAAACCAGTTGCTATGAAGAAGCCGCAAGGCAAGTTCTTCAAGTGCAGACTGAAGGGATACTGAAAGAAAAATTGTCCAGAGGTGATGAAAAGAACTTGACATGGGCATATCAAGGCCTGATCAGTGAATGAATTATTGATTCAGGAATCACTGATTATGTTTGTTACTCTTTGTAGTAGTTCAAACATGGAATACCTGTCAACAATGGACAGATATTTTAAGCTTGAAAATGGGAACTTGTGTCTGCATTTGCAGTAAGACAAGTTATTTATAAGACTATGGTTTTGGGTGATTGTTTATTTGTTCTAGATTTCAAGAGGAATTCAATTTTTGTTAGTTGTTTTGGTTAAAACATGGGTTGACAATGCAATTGATTCCTCAGTTACATTTCGAAGTTCATCTTCGTCTTGTTTGTTCTGGTACATTGTTTAAATGGTCTTTATTACCTATGTCCTATACCCTTTTTAAATTTGTTATGTTGAATGGAAAGGATGATGAACAAGAACTTTCACCAAAGAAATAAAAGTTTCAAATGAAACATAACTTTGGCCTTTGTGATTGAGTCACATTATCTCAAGTAGAAAATATGTTTTAGTTAAAAGAGAGACTGAAAGTTCAAGAATCTTTTAACTAACAGCTACATGTTAGTCCTATTTGGAAGGTAAAGTGGCCAAGCAATCCTACAAGGGCCAAAAAGGTTTGCGTAACTATTCAACTGGAACTGGTACATACTAAAGTATGTGGACCACTTTGCTTTCAGACCATAAGAGGTGATGAGTACTTCATTATATGAATGTT